TAAAAACACGAAAATTTAAATTAAACTAATTGCACTCATGATTTTTTATTCAAATAACCAGTTCAGTTTTTTCTATTATGTCGCTAAGATCAAAAAATATTATTCGTATTTCATCAGTATGTAATTTGTATCTAAATATAATTTCCAAAACACACGAATTAAAAAAAAAACCGAGCGAAAAATACCGAGCAAAGCTCGGTCAACCGGGTACTGTATTATTAAATAATTTATTTTTCTGTCATACTTGTTGTCATATTGTTTTTAATTTATTTAAGGACCAGTAAGCAATATCAACAGAGGCTTAATAACTAATCTTAATTCTAAAATTTGAATTTCGTGAAGCCAAAAACACCAACGTCAGATAATAATTTAAAGGATAAATAACAAAATGAGAGATGTGAAGGAGGACTTACTAAATAATACTCAATATTACAAAATGATATTAGTTGGAATTATTTAAACATATCTGCAATATTAAACTATTTAAAAACAATACAAAGTAACAAACAACTAAACAAACGGAAAAAACTGTTAACATTTTAGTTTTGATTTCAAACAATTATATAATTTTAATTATTGGTGGTGGTTATTAAATAATTGTCACAAATGGTACGATAAATTTTAAGCGTATAATAAATAGTTACTGTGCTTATAACAGGAGTCAATATCATTAATAAAAGTATAAAATAATAGTGGTCCCGATATATATAGGTTCCTCGGAAGTGACAGATAAAGACTCTGATTCGTAACCATTAATAACAACGCTTTGCGTGTGGTTAGTTACGTATGATTTAAGCCACGGCCAAAGATTGCCACGTTAATTAGGAACATTAGATTATTAGGTCCTGTTAAGGTCGATAATGGTCAATATCGATGTTTTAACGGGATTTATCGTGTTAAAAACATCTTCCAAGAAGTCGATGTTTACATCGAAAATCCGAATAAACCGATACCGACATCGATGTCATATTTCTGCAACATCGATCATCCCTAGACAGCAACCGTGGCGCCGCTGCTGCCCTCTAAGATTAGCTTTGCGTGTGGATACCCATTCTAAATCAAGGTCAAGTGGTTTCGCTTTCGAAGTAAGCTTTGTCACTCAGGTGAAGCTTGATATCGAAATAGTTATTTACGGAATAGCACTACAGATATTGAAACTCGAAATCTGAAATAGATACGATTCTCAGAAAACGCAATACGGACTATAGGTGAGCGTTGCGACGACGAACCCTTTACAAAGACCTTTTCGTATCCTACGACGATGAAACCGTTTTACGTCCTGGTTTCAAACAGTCTTCGTTGCACAAACCAGTCTTCAAATTACTTGGCACGATGTTTTATTTTACGCCTATGCAAATACAGCCGAGAATACAACGGTTTAACTATCTATCTCACTCGTCGCGTCATAGTCCTTAACGTTCCGCGTTATATTGTAGTGTTTGGTCCCGCGTTCGTTTACAAACGAAGACAGGGACTAAACAGTCTTTACAATAAAAAAATGAACTTTTTGCCAATAAAATAAAGACAAAAAAAAGATCATTTTGCTCTTAAAATAATGTTCTAAGTTGCATACCTATGGGGACCGTGCGCGAAACATAGAGGCAGTACTATCGCCGAAGGAAGCGCTCTCTTGTTACTTTGCCGAAGATGGAGGGATCAAAACATTCTTTACAAGCAACATAAAATATTCATAAAAAATGGAAAAAATAATAAAATACGGGTTTCAACCAGTTGTCAATAATATTATACGTGGCCACAATGAAGAAAAAGAAAAAGAAATTATAATACTGCGCCATTACTGCATTCATTGTATTGGTGGTGGTTATTAAATTATTAGTTTTCTTACCTTATAGCCTTATAACCTAGTCTACAATATATATATATATATATATATTTTTTTTTTTTGCAGACTAGTTATAATATTATTGTTAGTGTAAATGTGTTTTGTATGGTCTTCAATCTGTTTGTGTGTCATATTGATAAAATAAATAAATAAAAATAAATTACTGTCAAACATTACACTAAAATTTTTATTCATTTCTTTATTTCAATAACTTTTTAATTAATTTAGGACTTACACATATTTTTACTGTTTTATCTAATGTTTACGTTTTGCTATTTCCCATGCAGCTCCAATTTATAAAATTTCACTTTCACATCAATTCCACGTTTTTGACGTGATGTACCTATTATTACAGTTACCAATACAGCAATTTTTCCTCGAAATTGGCATTATTAAAATTATATCAATATATTTTATTAACATACGAACAAGGGACACACGGGTAGAGGAAGGCCGAATAAAAGATGGATCGATTGTGTGAAGAGTGATATGAGAATGAAAGGAGTAAGTATGGAAATGACGGCTGATAGAGAGGAATGGAACAAGAAGATTTACTGCGCCGACCCCAGATAATGGGAAATGGTCTAGAGAATGATGATTTTATTAACATATAATTACTCTGTGATACGATCCCAATTATTATCCCAATTATAGTAAGTAACGATATTTGCCACAGAAAATAAAAGTAAGGTGTCTATTTTAGTTTTTTTTTTAAATAATATTATTTATCTCGAACTCGCTGGCATAATTTAAAAATTTTAAAATGGATATTAACTAATAATTTATATTAACGTAAGTTAATTAATCGAATCAATAGTTACTTTATAACCATCCGCTCAATAAAATAAAATTATGTGTTTTACCTAGTTTGAAGAGCACCTCCCGTTCTCCCTCAATTGCGTGCACTTATCCCGTTACCACTAATCCCAGCACCACTACTCCCAACACCACCCACCACTACTAGGTAGGTTACTCAATAAGTTTTGAGATGCTCGCCCGTGTTATATGTTTCTAAAAAGAAAATTTATTTAAAAATAGAACTCCATAAGCCGATTGCTCAGTATTTAAAAAAAAGTTCTATTAATTTTCCTGCAACACTTCCCGCGCTTTTCATTTAAAAAGATGGATTATAACCGTGAACATTTGAGCGCTATGATCAATTTTGATTTTAAATTTGGTTTAACCGAACAATTAAGTTTACAACGGTTACAATCAGCATTAGGGGGCTCAGCTTCATCACGTGCAACAGTTTTTAGGTGGTTTGCTGAATTCAAAAGGGGTAAAATTAACCTCAAAGATGACCAAAGAACCGGGGCCCCGCAAACAGCAGTAACAGCAGAAAATGTATGGACTACAGAAATGTTGGTGAAATGTTCGCGAAGACCCACCAATCATATATACGGATATCAAAAATATTGTAAGCAATAGTTCGGGGAGCATTCATACTATCCTACATCAACATTTTGGGAGTGAGGAAGCTTTGTTGTCGATGGATCCCTCGTTTGTTCTCCAAAAGCGAGAAACAGACTCGTGTGCATTGGTGCCATGATATGTGTCTACGTTTTAAAAACGGGCATCTAGGCGTGTTTCGAAAATCGTTACTGATGACGAGACATGGATCTATCAATATGGTCCGGAAAATAAAAAGCAATCATCGGTATGGGTCTACTCAGAAAAACAGTTACTGACAAAACTGCAAAGACCTCGTAACATCGGCAAAAAAATGGTGGCTAATTTTTTTTCGTGGAGCAGACGTCAGTCAACTCTACAGTTGTATTACCCAAAGCTTTTCAAGCTGTGCGGGAGAGAAGACCAAAAACCGGGCTTCGGGGAATCATGCTGCATCACGATAACGCCTCTTCACATACATCCCTTAAAAAAAAAGCATTTATAGAGGAATCTGGTGTTGAAACTCTAAATCACCTACCCTACAGCCCTGACTTATCTCCTTGTGATTTCTTTTTGTTCCCAAAAGACAAAGAAAAATTAAAAGGCAAGTTCTTTTCAAGCGCTGAAGAAGCCGTGGCTGCATACGATGAAGCGATTTTTGACCTGTCAGATCAAGACTGGCAAAAGTGTTTTCGGAGTTGGTTTAGGCGAATGGAACTTTGTATAGAGCATGATGGAGAATATTTTGAAAAGATGTAAAATAAATATTAATAGTATCTAGAATACTTTTTGTATATCTCAAAAATTATTGAGTGTCTCACATATAGCTAAAGCGGTCAGCCGCCGTAGAGTCTACATCACCTGAAGATACCTCGTGTAGAGGCGCAACACGTGTCGATTTATCGTCGATGGTGTTTTTTTCCTAGAGTAGTGGTGTTGGGATTAGTAGTGACGGATTATTGCACGCAATTGAGGGAGGGCGGGAGGTACTCTTTAAACTAGGTAACATACATAATTTTATTTTATTGAGCGGATCGTTGCAAAGTAACTATTAACATCTTTACAAACGTAAGTCTTACCATAGAATAATATAAATAAATATACGAAAGTTACATTAAAGAAATATATTTATTACGAGGATCGAAGCAATAAATATACGGTTTAAAAAATAGGTCTTTGTAAGTTTAAGCTTAAAATTACAGTTTTTTAACTGAGCTTTGGTAGTCAATTCAGTCATGTATGTATAATTTGATTTTATTATATAATTATAGTAATAAGATTAAATGAAGGAAACGATATCAGTCGCGCGCAGAGTTGTCTTGCGCGCACTATAGCGTATCTATGGTTTATAGTACGGAAGTTGTAGTTTGCTTGCTACATATTTATTTATCTATGATCTATGTTCTATGATTTATTTATCCACGCAGTAATCTATGTATTTATCTATGGGAAGCTGCCCAAGCGCGGCGTTTGTTTGCCATCTTGTTTGTTTCTTTTTGTCTCATTTACGATTTCACGACAAGAATAAAAAGGCATATTTTTTATTGGGAATGGTAGTCATTTCTCGCTTTTAAAGTTTTTGGATTGATTTATTTGTGGCTTAGATTAAGTCCAGTACCCTTCAATTTGCTATAATAAAATATTCCATAAAACTGTCACCTAGTTATAAGTCTGCAGGTAACAATTATTTTCTTTGTCTCGTGGTATATAATTTTGGAAAATAATCACTATGTATTATCATAAGACTACTTTCAGGAATTCGTAGACAATGAGCAGTCGTGGCGATCAAGATGGCCGTCGGCCTGCACTACCCGCACAGCCTCGGCCGCCATCTGAATCGCAGACTGAAACAGAAAAGGAGCAAACCACTGACCAACCTAAACAAATATGTCGTAATTATGTATGGGGGACATGTTCAAAAAATGCAAAATGTAAATTACGTCATGAACTTGACGTTGAGGAAATGAAAAAAATTCTAATATTTTGCCAAGACTATCAGAATAGAACTGGCTGCACACGAGAAGACTGCAAATATCTTCATACAACTAAGGAAGAAGAAAATTTATTTCTTACCACTGGCCAAATACCTCGAGTACTTGCTGAACGCCATGCTGCAATGTCAGCTACGGCAAATGTAGAGAATATTCCTCAAATTGCTTTCTTTATTAAGGACTCTTATGCAATGCCGACATTAGAGTACTACGCTACAGGTTAGTATAATGCTTATTGTTTTAAATTTAATAAGTTATCATTTTAAAACCAAAAAAAATTCTTTTTTTTGAGATGGGCAACATTTCCTAATATTATTTTGCTGGTGGTGTTTCTGGCGGGAAGTCAAGCTAAGCGGGTGTTTTAATTCTTGCTGAATTTTCATTTCATTTTATTTTGTATATATTTTGTAAATTTCCGTGTAAATAGTTAATTAGTACATACCTATATATAGTGTAAATACAATGGATCCAGATTCCGACGGGGGCCTGACCCCCGCCGAGCAAAAATCAAAGAAAAGGAAATTGCCCGATACTCGCAAAGAAAATGCCGTCGACTACAAAATTTTCACAAAAACAAATTACACGCGACAATTCCCAGAAAACCACAGCGTAGACTGCGTAGTCTACGTTGAATCACAAGAAAACGAAAAAATTGGTAACAAAAATCCAATAGCACTTACAAAGTTATTTACGGAAAATGTAAAAGGAATAGCTAGCGTGCACAGAGTGAACGCATATAAAGTGGGCTTAACGTTCAGAAAACCAGCACCGGCCAATAACTTCCTTATCATGACACACTTTCTGGGAAAACACAAATTAAAAGCGTTCGTGCCTGCGCACCTCACTGAAATTACTGGAGTCATAAGATACGTACCTAGACTAAAGCAATGAAGACATATACAAAAGCATTACCTGCGATGCAGAAGTCATCTCCGTGAAGCGATTTATGAGAAAGGTAGATGGAAAGCTGACTCCGCTGGGGACCATTGCAGTGACCTTCGCTGCGACAGCGCTGCCGCAGCACGCCTACATACAGATGTTCAGATACCCGGTCCACATATACATCCCTCCATTACTACAGTGCTACAAATGCCTGAAGTTCAATCACTCTGCGAAAGTCTGCCGAGGTTCTCAAATATGTTCTTCGTGCTCCGGACAACACTCCTACAAAGAATGCGACGTTAAAAAAATTGTGTGCATCAACTGTCAAGGTGGTCACTTGGCCATCTCTAGGGACTGTCCAGTGAAGCAACAAGAGATGGAAGAGAAGAAGAATAAGTATTTAAAACAAAACCGATCGTATGCCACTGTGGTGAGTATCCCAGCAATGCCCGACCCGAGAGCATTCCCAAACCTTTAACCTGTAAAGACTGTTGATACTGACATAAATAAAGTACCATATAATGCTGAGCAAATACTAAACAACGAGTTAATTATTAATGCGCTAGTCAAATCATTAGTTATGCTTGGCAATGACAAGAACAGTACTCCGATTACAAATAAAAGAATTAAAGACATACTTTTAAGTAATTTAATACCATAATGGATACATATTTGAATATAGCACAATATAACATACAGAGCTTACAGAACAAAAGGGCCTTACTTAAAAAAATTCTTTCGGAACAACATATAGATATCTGTTTTTTAAATGAAACCTGGCTTAAAACAACTAGTACAATTCCTGATTTTTCACCCTATAATTTTATACACAAAAACTCAATAAATGAACATAATGGAGTAGGTATATTAATTAAACAAAACTTAAAATACACTATTGTAAATACAACTTTTTTTGAATCTGTGCAAAATATTTGCATTTCCGTAGACACAACTATGGGTAAGTTACATATTCTATGTGTATATTGTCCTCCCAATAGCAGCAGGTTTTCTACTAGCAAAATGAAAAAGGTGCTGCTTGAAACCCCTAAGCCATGTCTTATTATGGGAGATTTTAATGCTCACCATATCCTGTTTGGATGTCGGACAAATAATAATAGAGCTAACAGTTTATATGCACTTATTGATGACTTTGACTTGTGTATTCTGAATGATGGTGACACAGCTACAACTGTCCAGTATCCTAACAGAAATCAGTCGGCAATAGATTTAGCTCTGGTTAGTTCCGCGTTAACTCCTCTTTGTGAATGGCGCGTCCACGACGACCCGATGGGCAGTTACCACTACCCAACTGTGGTCGCTCTAAATGTGAAGCCTTCTATATATGAAGTGCGTCCTGTGGAAGAAAAATACATTTATAATAAAGCAGATTGGTCTTAATATCAAGAACTATCAGAAACGAGATTTTGTAATTTAGAAATACATAGTACAGAACCTATTGATTTGTATAATAATTTTGTAAATATTTTGTATGATATTAGAGCAGAGACTGTTCCAAAGCAAACACCACAACAAACTTTAAGGGTAATGAGAAAACCTGCACCCTGGTGGAACCAAACATGTGATGATGCTGTTCGAAAGTCTAAGGAGGCCCTCAAAGAGTATAGAAAATCGCCTAGTATTCCTAATTTCATTATCTACAAAAAACTTGATGCTCAAAAGAAAAGGATATTAAAAGAAGAAAGTATTAATTCATGGCACAATTTATGTACTAGTTTTAATAGAATGACACCTATTTCTCGAATATGGAACTACATGAAAAGGTTTAGAAGGATAGGTTCTTCTCATAACAGATATTTGGCTGACGATTGGATACCAAGCTTCTTAGACAACATAACAGACTCATCACAGTTGAATGAAGATTATTTGAATGATATTTTAGATCAATCTGTTGAAAATGAAAGTAACTCGTTTCTCAATAGACCATTCACACTAAATGAATTGTACATAGCACTCAAAAGTAGGAAAGATACAACACCAGGGTTGGACAGCATACCATATATGTTAATAAAAAAATTACATCTTAATGCACAAGAAATGTTATTAAGTATTTATAATAAACTTTGGAATAATTTAGCTATACCAGAGTCATGGAAAACCCAATGTGTAATCCCCATTTTAAAGCCAAATAAAGCTGCTAATGATCCATCATCATACAGACCTATTTCTTTGTCATCATGTTTAGGTAAGCTTTTTGAAAACATGTTAAAGATGCGTCTAGATTATTTTGCTGAAACACAGGATAAACTACCTCACATACAATTTGGATTCAGAAAAGACAGAAGTTGTTCTGAAAGCTTTGTATCTCTGATATCGGAACTTAAAAAGGCCAAACTTAGCCATTCTAATGTTATATGTGTATTTTTAGATGTTAAAGGTGCCTTTGACAATGTTAATATTGAATGCCTCATAAAAGTTTTGCATGAATTGGACTTGCCAAGAAATGTATTAATCTGGATTTTAAATTTTGCATGATAGGACTCTTTTTGTTAAATTTAACAATAAACTACATGGACCTAGGCCTGTTAACAAAGGAACAATGCAGGGAGCGACACTTTCACCTTTGTTGTATAATTTATACACATCTCAGATACTTAATTATGTAGATACATCACAAGTTAAAATATTACAGTTTGCAGACGACATACTTTTATACAGTGAAAACCAGAATATATATACAGCAATTAATAGAATTAATACTGCATTGTCAGAATTGCATCATTATTATAGCAACATTTTTTTAGTTTTAGTATTCAGTAAAGACACATTTGTAAACTCTGGAATTAAAATTAACTATAATAATGATGCAATTGCTATAGCCAATCATCATAAATTTTTAGGAGTTGTGCTAGATGATAAACTGAAATTTGATAAGCATATCAACTATATCTGTCAGAATGCCATGAAGAGCATAAATGTACTAAGAAGCTTAGCAGGAACCTTTTGGGGGTCTGATCCAAAAACGCTTAGCATGCTGTATAAAAGTATTGTAAGGAGTCACTTTGACTATAGCTCTCTAGCTTACATGAATATTAGTAGCACATTGTTAAGAAAATTAGATGTGATACAGAATATGGGTCTGAGAATAATCAGTGGAGCCATGCGCACCACTCCTATTGTTTCTATGGAAGTTGAAAATTGCATACCTCCTTTGTCCTTGCGGCGTTTGCAGTTGGCTGAAAGATTCTGTTTGAAGGAGTTATCTTGTAGCAATGATATTGTCCTGAGTAATGTTTTATATCCTGCAGAAGTCTCCCAGTTAATTGGAACAGCCAACATCTCGGCTAATACTCTTATTTCGGGTACATTGCCTGAAATAACAACAATAACAACTTGTGTAAAAAATCAAACAAGAGATATGTACATCAGTAACAAGTGGCCTGTTTACAAATGCCCATATGATACATTACTTAATTATCTTGATATAAAATGTCATTTAGATTCGGTTAGTACTAAGAATGAATTCTTAGAATTTTTAAATGAAAAGAAAGACTTCTACACTATATATACTGATGGCTCCAAGAGTGATCTTGTTAAAGCAGCATTTTATGACCCACAAATGAAAGTTATTAAATGTATAAAGTTGCCTAGTAATTGTAGTATTTTTACAGCAGAAAGTTGGGCTATATTAGCTGCCTTGTCATATGTAAATACCAATGTAAATAGTGTAAATATCTTGATAGTTAGTGATTCTAAAAGTGTTTTATCTGCTTTATGTAACTGTAATTTAGTATATAAACAGAATTATATTTTGTATAAAATTAAGGATAAGCTGCAAACGATTGGAAAATGTATAGAATTCTTATGGGTTCCCTCACACAGTGGCATAGTCGGAAATGAGATAGTGGATCAGGCGACGCGGCAAGATCACCATGAAGACCAAACACAAGATTGTAAAGTCCCCTTCACAGATTATTATCAACACTTTAAAATCTTGTCAAAGAAACTGTGGAAGGATTACTGGAACATTAATACCGTGAATAAGGGAAAATGGTATGCAGAATTACAGCCAGACTTACCAATGATTCTGTGGTACAACCGCTTTAAATACACAGGCCGAAAGTTCATAACGATCATTAACCGCTTGCGGTTTGGCCATTGCCAAGTCCCTGCACATCTGTACAGAATGAAGATCGTAGCTGATGTCAAATGCGCACATTGCGCTCAACATAATGCAGACATAAACCACATAATTTTCCAGTGCCCATCGTTTGGGATTCAAAGGTTGACACTTGTCAGTGAAATTAGTGATGTCGCTGAAGAAAATTCTATAAGTGTTCCCCGCCGCGTTCAGGATCTATTAACTGATGTAGTTTTTTTCATGCCTCTATTTAAATTTATACTTAATACTGTAGGAAAACTTTAATTAATTATGTGTACTTAGTTAATTGATAATGTTTGTAAATAGCTTCTTAGTTCATTTTGTAATTTAGTCTGTTCTATATTTATATAATAGGAAAAAAAGTAGAAAAATGATGGAAAACCATTCTAAATTGTTATTACTAAAGTTAAATATTCTTAATTTGATGTATGATTTGTGTTAATACTGTAATGTTTTCGACTGAAGGTCCTCGCAACCATGGTCACGAATAAATTAAAAAAAAAATATTTTGCTGGAATTTTGTATAGTTATAAGATTCTGTTAATTGGTATTTTTAATCTATATGGTGTGTGAAGCAGGTTTATATACTAAAAGCTAATAGAGTTTCAATGCTATGTTTCAAGTTTTATTTACAGTTTAAGCTATTCATAGAAAATACAAAAATAGTAACAATATATTTTAAAAGGACAAACTCAAAACACCTTGCAATTGAGCACAATCTGAAATTTATACAGAGATAAAAATTAACATGACAAAGTTTTGAGTAGAAAGTGTATTAATCTGTTAAGGTATGCAACCAATATCAATTATGCTATGGCCACACTGCCATGATACAACAATAATTATGGCCATAATTGAAACAACATGTAGATGAAGCCATGTTTTATGGCCATAATTTTATAATTACAATCAATATGGCATATTATGGTAGGAAATAGCTCCTTTGAAAGTCTTTTACTCATATTAAAGATAAACACCGCAGTAATTTTTGCTGAACATTGAAAGCCTTGTAGCATGTAAAAGGGATCTCTGCTTCTCTGTACTCACTATAAATAACACAGCAGCACATTCTACTATTTTATGTTAGTTCTATGTGGTATTTAACATGCTTTTATAGTCTTTCTCCAGTTGAACTAACGTTTGTGCTGAGGTTATAATACAGCTAGTGCATGTTTCCACTATATTAAATACAAACACAATATTACAACATGCTCATCTTTTATTATATTTATAATGACATTCAGTTATTGGTTCTGTTATTAAAGTAATGCAGTAGAACAATATTTAAAATCTTGGGCTTCAAACACATCAGTCTCTCTGCTATCAATACTATTTATCAGGCGTAATTTCTTTTAACTGTACAAGAAGCATTTAATCTATGTGACATCTCGTCATCAGCCCTGATAGCATGCCTTTGCTATTATTACACACATAACATGTTGTGCAATGCTTTAGTTACTTAACAGTCTGAGCAAAGAACATGGCTCAATTACGACCTAACCAAAATATGAAACAACCACCAATGATTGATATGTCAAAAATAGTGAATTATGTGTATATCAAAATATATGGTCCAATTTATTTTATTGAAGCCTGTGAAATAAATTAGTTTTGTAATAAAAACCTCATTTTCTTACTAATTTTTATGGGTTTTGAACACATCTAAACCCGTCCTGTTTTTATCTGTGGTACACATTTCATCATAACATTAAAGTAACACTACCATTATGCATTTACTTTTTTAATGTACTAGATTTTACGGTAGATTGTTGATTTATTTTTGTAGTTTATTTTCAATTACATCCTTTTTAGATGGGGATATGGATTAAGTATTTTGTAATGAGTTGCAAATGATAGGTTCACAGTTAATATCCAGTCGAATGTCGGGGTCATTATTGCCAATATGGCGCATCATATATATATATATATATATAATATATATATATATATATATATATATATATATATATATATATATATATATATAGCTAAGTAAGTATATATGAAATCATATATCAATGGAAACGTTATTAAATAAGCTTTCAGATTATGCATAACAGATATATATGTTATATATATGTATGTTATATAGTATATCATATATATGTTACAAATAGCCATATTATGGCGTTTGACAGGTGCGCATATTATTTGAGACGCCAGAATATGGTGTTTGTACAGACGAGGGGATATAGAATGTACTAATAATTAGAACGGAGCATATTATGAGTATTTCTATTTCTCTATGTAGTCTGTGGTATTATGACATCAGAGCTGTTATTGTTTACTAGGTTATATATTTCAGGAGGAATTTTTTTTTATATTCTACTGTATATACCACTGCATACTTTTCATATCAATGGTTGTAGGTGAAGTTTTAGTCATGGCTGCAGACTTATTACATCATAACCTCAAAAGTGACGAAATACCTAAGTGTAACATTCTATGATCCTCAGCTTTTAGATAATATATTTTCTATTTAGGATAGGTGATTGTGGCTAGGGGAACAGATTAATCCATTCAACAGTCATGTTCACAATATTTTATAGTTAAGTCACAGCGTGTATGGGCTGTGATTGATATTTTTTCTGAAATAAGAGCAGTTAAAGGTTTTATGAAAAATATCTTTAACTTACTACTTGAGATCCAGTGGTCCAATGATCTGACAGCCAACTACTGCTCTATGAGTAAACTGCTGCAAGAAATTCTATAACATTCCAGACCATGATGGTTGAAAAAAGTGGCAGGGTAGTTAGTTGCAAACCCCACATTTAACTTAATTTGATTGCTCGAAGGCTGATATTTATTGTTATGTTTCAAATAATAAATATAGATATCAATAGTTACTTTGCAACCATCCGCTCAATTAAATAAGTGAAGTGAGTATCTTAGCGGACAGCAGCCGAGTCTACATCACCTGAAGATGCCTCATGTAGAGGCGAAACACGTGTCGTATTATCGTCGATGGTGTGTCTTTCCTAAAATAGTGGTGTTGGGAGTAGTGCACGCAATTGAGGGAGGGCGGGAGGTGGTCTTCGAACTAGGTAAGACACATCATTTTATTTATTTGAGCGGATGGTTGCAAAGTAACTATTAGTATCTTTATTATAATGGATTTCCGCAAAGTAACGCTTGATTCTATCAATTATAAGAAATAATTAAAATACACTGAGTTTTCTTGTAAATTATAGAAATTATTTACATTATTGTAATTATAGATCATCATTTTGGTACATACAAATTATAGTATGGACTTTGCATTGTTATAGCTACCTGTTGCTAGTGCTAGAAGTGTTTTAGCACAATTTAAATATAAACTGACCTTTGATTTAACACTAATAATTTAATAATGAAAATTATGAAATTGGATAAACTTAATTGAGACTTGCTTTTTCAGCACCACCCCCACCACCACAGACTACTCCCATGGTTTTCCCCATGGACCAACCTTGGCCACCTCTGCAAGTTATGTGAGTATAGTCATATTATATGTATGTTTCTATATGGGACATAACACTAAATCTATATTAAATATGATTTAAGGTTTGATGCAAGCAGACCACCACCATCACCAAATCAAGTATTATTAAGAAGTGGTCCAGTTAAACACAAATCACCAAATTCTTGTGAAGGTGAGTAAATTTCCTATAATATAATATTCCTATAATACACCCATTCAATTGTAAGATTTATTAATAATAACTAATTTCTCTAAATGCCTAGCGATATAACTATTTACATTTGATTGAGTAAAAACAGGTAAAACTTTAGCCCTAGCGAATATTAGACAAACTCAATTAACAATAATAAAAGATCAAGATAGAATTGATTTTCAATATGAAGTCTGGCTGTTAAGCGTTTTGTTTTTGTAATGTTTTTAAGTGTTTATTAAATATTTAATTTTTTAGATTAACTGACATTTTCAAATACTTGCTATTTATTTAATTTTCCTTGTGTAAATAAATCCTAAAAAAAGTATTGTTTAGAAGTTTTACATGATTGTATTTTTTCTTGTAGTTCAACAAGGTTCTCATGCGAAAACATATCATTTATTAATTCCCCAGCAAAGCTCGCTAACATCGATATTTAAAGTCCACTATCAAAACATTATTTCCCATTTAGCATTTATGTCTTTTTATAATTACAAATTTGTTTTAAAATTATATTTTTACAATCGGTTGATTACATACTTGATGTCTTTTGAATTGAACATAATATACATAGTACATGATAAACATTTATATCAAAACTAGCACTGTGTTTGTTAATGTTCTTAAGAAATTTAAAAATAATTAAGTATTGATATATAGTAATATGTCGATTAGTCATTTACTTACTAGAGATTACCTTCTGGAACTTTAATGTGGAATATAAAATCAATATTTTGTCTAAATCATCAAGTTCTATCAGGCTTGGCGCTTATTGATTTGTTCTCAGCTGGACCAAGCAAAATAAGGAAGCCAGAGGACTGCAATTTTGCGGAGGCACACTGCTTAAGCTGTGCCGAACGCGAGCTCAGGTTTGGAAATATCCCAATTTTGTAACTATGTATATTGTTTACATGACATAAATCTGAAATATATATTTAGCAATAGTATAAGTTACTATTTATTAATAAATTGTTAGTTGTGGCTTTCCAAACATTTACTTTCATCACAAAATTTGATGCAGAGCATGTTTTCTTGAAAGTATTATATATGTTTAGCGAAGTTTTAGTGTTGTATACCTGCCAAGCTCCGTGAGCTTACTGCGCAGACTTTAGATACGAGAAGCCCCGAGCGCGCCGCGAATACGAACCTGCCTGTGCGAAAAACTGAAAAATACATTTCATTAAAGTATTTTATTTAATTAAATAATCTAAATCTTTCTTCATATATACATACTAATAAAAAATTGGCCCAGAATGGTTAAGAGCACTGCTAATACAAATAATGAAATGATATTTTAAAAATCGGTAGTAATTGCGCGGCGTTAACTATAATTTTTGTAGTTATATTGTATCATATATGTGCCATATTATGGTTCTCTTTTTCTTAATTATATTTTATTTTAATAATTAAAAATGCCAAATTCATGTCTATTTAAATTAAATAGAATTTTGACAAATTTCAATCTATTGAGAATGTATTTTTCCGTAGGATTGATTTGTGCAAGCAAGAAATAGATAAATTACTTATTGAAGAGGAATATCAAACTCTACTTTATAAAAAGAAACTGGAGGACTATGAAAGTGGAAAAAAATTTTTAGAGTCTCGTGTTAGCCCTGAACTTTTTGGGACTTTGGAAGTATTAATTGAGGTTAGTCTTTGAAGTTTTGTTTCTAAAACTTAGAATTAAGAATTTATCAATGTTTATTCTAGCTAAAATCATACAAGCATTTAAAGTGAATAAAATTTTATTTAACGGTTTCATCATTGCGACACATTACAAATCCACTGCTGAACATAGGCCTCACTCATGGATTGGTACAGAGCTACAGCAACTTGCATCCCTTGATTCCCTGCATGATTTGCCAGGTAACTCGTTATCATCACCATCTATACTACGTTATACTCTTTTGACACTAAATAAACATAATATACTGTGGTTTGTGATCAATTTGTTCCATAAATATACAATTTGGTGATTACATGAATATAGAGCACCCAATTGAATCCTAGCGTAGCTATTAACCGTCATGTTAAGAATATAAGTATATAAAATGAATATGATCTCAATCGGTCAAGTTGTTTTTGGAAGTTACATGATCACCTAAAATAATACAATAATATGCAAAAACACCCCTTCAATCTGAAAGGGGCTCACATAGGTCCTAGTCGGTTACTCTAGATCAATGATTTTAGATAGTTGCCCAATGAACTTGGTACACTAAAACCTGGTATTTCAAATAAAAAATTGGTACCCGTCGAACAGCCTCAGTGAGGTTATAGTGTGATGGGAGTTTTTGGGTTTGCTGCGGCAGAGATAACTGCGTTCGGCGAAATTACTTAAATCAAGGATAATATGTATGTATCTGGATAGAAAAATGACTGCAATTTTGCAACATTTGCGTTTTTTAAAATTAATATCTCTAATAAACGAAGGATTAAACTGATAAGTGAAGTCTGGTCAGTGTCGTGATCAACTGACCGAGAGTACCATATAATTAATTTAATATTTGGGGGGTAATTTTTTATTAATGGGCGCTTTTCCATTCGCTGACACGGCAACATCACGGCGCTGGCGCTGGCTTAGCCCTCAGCGCCGTGCTATGACTTCCACCGGTACTGTCGCCGGTGCCGTGACAGGAAGCTTCTCTATCGGTACAGGCCGGTAAAACTGCTAGATGTGCTGTGTGCGTATTGTAACCGTGGGCGTGAGCGTGTGCGCGTGCCAAGCTAGCTATACATAAGTTAGTATATACAAGTACGCTAAACTGGCTATAATCCTACAAAATGTTTGTGCCGATTTGAAGCGCCGTCACTGTTCGTGCCGGGAACTAAAATTGACATATTATGTCTAAGTCTAATAATAATAATAATGACCTCCAGACCGAATTTCGGCCAAGGCGGCCTGCCTCAACGGAGGCTAGCCATCGGGGCAGGACAAGATTATAGTGCCCACGTGTATGCGCAAGCACAGGTGCACTCTCTATTCCCTCACTCTCATAACCCGATGGGACGGTAAACCGACACGGCCGGAGAGAGATCAGGTGCAGAACCAACCGCTTTACGTGCTTTCCGAGGTACGGGGGTGAGACACCGCCAACTTCCTGACTCCGGGCAACTACTGTGAGAATTTCTTGACAGAAAAACTCAATAATTAATTTTTTGGTCTGACCCGGGATTGGAACCCAGCACCTCATGATCAGCAGTCGCACTACTACAAGCACTATTGTGATATTTAAACCTAAGTCTATTGTGATATTTAAATTGTATCTCTGTGTTTCAAACTTTTAAATGAAAAAAAAAAATGAAAGTATTTTGTGTAGTTTGAATTTCTTTATTTTGAGTTATATGATGATGATTATTTAAAGTTATATGAGAGTGTGTGTCATTTGTACCAAAAGGAAAGTGGGATAACGTTCCACAGGTAAGTGAATTCACAGATAATAGTAAAAAAATTCGACTATTTATAATGTAGGTACTCAAAACTTTGTTACTAATCTTCATATCGCAATTACCAACATTTTTGCTTTATATTATGTACTCAGTTTTAATTAACATTAAATGTAATAGGGTTGAAGTACCCACTGACGATACGTCCATTAATCCAAATGGAGTGGTAATCACCCAAAATATTTCGTCAATCCCTAAATCAATTGCCACTCCCAAAGTCGGTAATTGTCAAAAAAGGGAATTGAATGTTGTAAATAAATTACTTCAAATCACTTAAATAGAAAAAGAATTCATTACTTTCTTTAGATGTTTAGTGATAAATAAGATACCTGATAGACAAATAAAATAACAATATCTCATATTTATTTTGTTCTACTAAGTGTTCGATCAAATAATATATATTTATAGATAATAAAATCAGGATTTTATGTTAACGAATTGCTTGATTACTTCTTAATAATATTTGGATTAACTTTATATTGTGTTACAGGTTAAGACATCAGAAAGATCTGGTGCAGGAACAGCAAAAATTCTTATCTGTTAGTTGTGATACTACAGTGAAATGCTCTTCTTGGTAAATGTGGATGTACCAAGGGTCTCAAGATCGGTGGATTCCATCCTCGATGAGATGCCGTTTGAAGATGATGCTGAGGTACATACTTAATTTACATTGTTATACTGTTTTGCCAACAAAGTTAGTGTCACCTTCCCCATTAAAATATTGCACAAAGGCTTCCCTTACCTTTTTTTGTGTTATTGCTGGCAATTCTATTTGTTATATTTAATGAAGTGAGACCGATTGGAGCAATTGAATCATTAGTATTGATATCAGTATCAAACGCATTATCAATTGCATAAGGGGAGCTAGATTTTCTATGAAAATTGTGAAGGAGACAGCATGTTAACACAACTAGATCCATTCTGTCCAAGTTACAGCATATATACGTACCACTGCTGTGCACAGGCCTCTCCTCATTTCTGAGAGGGTTTTAGGGCAAGGAAGTGTTCGCCGCGCTGCCCCAATGCGTGTTGGCGAACTTCACATGTCTTCGAATTTTCTTTTATTCCTCAGACATGCAGGTTTCCTCACGATGTTTTCCTACACCGCCGAGCACGTGGTAAATCAGCACTTGAAATTGCAATTAACAATTTCATTGGTGCCGGCGGGAATCGAACCCGGGTTACTCGCGTTCTGTTATATTTACAGCGAGCATTGACCATCTGAGCTACCACGGCATAAGTTTATAGCAGTATGTAAGATTCTGAAATGGTTTGACATGATACCGAATACATATTCTATTATTCGCCTAGCTCTTGACAAACTATAATTAAAAAAATAATCTTTCTGTTGTCAGAGTTGCTCTACTAAATGGCTTCATAAAATCACTTCTTAGAGCAAAAGCTTCATTCACCACAAATACAACAATTTAGTATGGCTGTTTTGACACCTGCCATCATTAAGTTCCTATGGCTCCTCCATCCGAAACTCAACTCAATCATCAATACCAACTTCACACCATATTAATTCATAGTTTGCATTTGCACAAGTTATTAGCACAATGATATTGAAATTCTTGTAATTATAAAGATAGGAACCATTTTTTGGACCTTTTTTTATATAGAAGAGGGGGCAAACGAGCATGCGGCTCACCTGATGTTAAGTGACTACCGCCACCCATGCAACCAACAACAAGCATCAACCTCAACACCAGGGGAATTGCAGGTGCGTTGCCGGCCCTTTAGAAAGGAGAGGTCCCCAGGTCGTATCGGTCCTTAAAAATCGCCGGTGGTAAACTATTCCACAGAGAGGTTGTACGCGGAAGAAAACTCCTTTTGAAACGTACAGTGGTGGACCGCCAAGCATCCAGATGGTGTGGATGGTATCGGGACGTTTGCCGCGTAGTGCGTTCACGAAATTTGGCGGCTGGGATTAACACGAACTATTCCTCAGAGCACTCCCCGTGGTATATGCGAAAGAAAATTTTTTTATTTATTTATACATAAACACACTAGCAGCTAAAAAAGCTGATGCGTGCGCATCTTAATGTTTGGAGATTTTATCCAATCTGTTCTTGAAGGCGTTCAATGTAGGAGCATCAATCACATTTTGTGGTAGCTTATTCCACTCGGTGACAACACGGTTTGTTATAAAATTCTTCATGGGATTCCGCTTGGCAGTCCTATGGCAAAGTTTAAGTTGATGTCCTCTCAGACGTTTGTTGCTATTTAGTAGGTACAAATTCGGCAGAGTAGGAACATTGTAATATCCTGTCAGTATTTTGTATCAGACTACCTCTCTGCCTACGGTTCTCTAGTGTTGTGAGGTTAAGCTTTCTCATTCGCTGCTCATATGTCATGTTTCGCAGTTGTTTTACCATTTTTGTGGCCCTCCTTTGAACATTCTCTAGTATTATTATATCTTTACGAAAATACGGGTTCCATATCACATATGCAAACTCCAAAAGAGGTCTTAAGTACGTTCGGTAGATCTTGTTAAATATTTTAGGAGTGAGACACATAAAGCTTTTTCGAATCATATACATCATGGAGTTTGCCTTTTTTACTATGTTAAGGATATGAGTTTCCCATTTGAGGTCACTGGTTATTGTAATGCCAAGGTCTTTTTGTGATTCAACAGAAGACAATGGGTGATCACCTAGATAATATGTATTTCGTGGATTATTTTTCCCTATATGTAGAACCGTACACTTGTCTGCGTTCAGTGTTAGGAGCCAATCACTAGTCCAATCGTAGATGGCATTTAGATCCTGTTGTATAACTTGATGTTGCGTAATAGGGTTCCCAAAAAATTTTGTGTCATCGGCAAATAATGAGAATGGTAGCTGTAACGTGCTCTTCAAATCCGATAAATATAGGATAAATAATAATGGTCCAAGAACAGATCCCTGCGGAACTCCGCTGAGTACTTCCCTGGGTTTAGACATTGTACTTCCAACTCACCCAGAATGTTCTGTCTGACAGAAAATCACTGATCCAGGCCAACAATTTCCCGCGTATACCAGTGTTTTAATTTGCATATAAGTCGCCTTAATGGCACACGGTCAAAAGCTTTTTCATAGTCAAGATATATCACATCTGTAGGTAATCCATTGTCATGGTTTGAGACCCATTCATTAACACATTGTAACATATTTGTAATGATTGATCGCTTTGGTACAAACCCGTGCTGTTCATCTAAAATCAGTTGTTCTTGTAATAGGAATTCTCTTAATCTTTCAGTTATGATCTTTTCCATGGATTTACAGAGGATACTTGTCAAACTTATTGGTCTGTAATTACTAGGTCTCATCTTATCGCCGTTTTTAAAAATAGGTACGACTGTAGCTTTCTTCCAATCAGCGGGTAAGCGTCCATCCTCCATGGATTTGTTCATAATGCTTGATATATATTCGGCAAGCAATGATGAGCACCGCTTTAGTAATATAGATGGTATTCCATCAGGACCAGTAGCAGTAGCATCATCAAAGGTTAACAAGGTCTTTAGTACGATTTTGGTTGTAAATTTTACGTCATCAATTGAGTTTGTTACCATTGGCATGTTTATGGAGGGAATTGGTCCATCTGGTTCTCTTACATAGCTATTAACGAACTGATCGGCAAACAGCTCCGCGATTTTATGTGGTTCCTCTACAAGTTCTTGTGACTCGGTTTTAAGCATGTTAGGAATGGTGACTTTAGAATTAAGTTGTCTTCTAATGTATCCGTAGAAAGCTTTCGGTCCAGAGTCTATAACATTTGTTTTAAATTGAGCTCTTCTATATTTCGACAGTTTAATAATTTTATGATTAATATTTCTAAATTTTCGGTACGAATCTTCTGTTTTATTAATAATATATATATTCCATAACTCTTTTTTCCGTTTTGTTAAATCCAAAATTTCCTTATTTATCCATGGTTTCTTATTTGATTTATTTATTCTCTGTGATTTTTTTACACAATTTTCAAGTGATGTATGTATTTGATTTTTAAATGATAGCCACATTTCATCTACTTGGTTTCCAATTATGTTAAAGTTTTCTGCTAAATCTTTGTTAATTTTGTTATAGTCAGCTTTATAAAAATCAAAAATCTTTTTTTATCGGCACTTTACTATCGTTATTAATTATCTGCATAGAAGCCAGTATGACCAAATGATCACTCTTTCCAATGGGCGGAAGATACTTAATATCAGTTATTAAAGTTTCATCATTACACAGTATAAGATCTAGTAGGGATTCTGCATTATTACGTTTCCTTGTGATTTGTGTTACAAGCTGATTGAGATTACTGTTTGAATACATTGCTACAAAGCTTTCGCATAGCTTGTTATGTCCGGTTAAATTATCGAGAGGCCATTTTATATTTGGTAAGTTGAAATCACCTGCAATAATCACTGTCTGCTTTGAGGCTACCTTTTCTATGGTGTTAAATAATATTTCATCAGCACTTGTTAAAACATTTGAGGGAGGACGATACACACAAGCTAAAAGTAAATCTAAATATCCATAGTGTATATCTAGCCATAATGCCTCAACCAAAGAATTATAATATATTTTATTCACTTTTGATATAACAGGTACATTGTTAACGTCATGTGCAACGTACATTGCTACTCCTCCCCCTTTTCTTTCTCTTCTGTCCAACCGGAAGAACGTATATCCGTTTATATTTATAAGGCTGTCATCAATTCCAGAATGTAAATGAGTTTCTGATATCAAAATAAAAGCAGGTTTATGTGTATTAACTTCAAGAAGAAATAAATCAAATTTTGCCATAATGGAAGCCAAATTCGTGTATAGTATGCGGAGTTCTGTGATATTATGGTGTGCTAGTTTTTTGTAGTTGTTATAATCTTTGGTATGTTATTGATATATTTGATCGTAAGATTTTGCTCACCTTTTTCGGTTCTAGCCGCTAGTTCTTCACGAAGTCTCCTAAGTTGATCTCTTTGATATGGTGTCATATCAGCCTTTACCTTAACAGAGTTTGGCAGCTTACCTTTATTTTTCAGAACATTTATAGCATTATGTTTATTGGCCAGGACTACCTTGATAGGACGCGGCTTTTCAATTTTGGATACAGGTTTACCCAAACGGATGACAGTGAGAATTTCCGGTTCTGGAGTTGCCAGTGACGTTATAGTTTTAGAAACCTGGTCTTTATCATGACTTTTTCTTTCTTCTGGTGAATTTGCTGTAGATTCAGGTATTCCAAACACAATAAGATTACGACTACGATTTTTTCTTTCCTGAATTTCATTTATCACTGTGTCCAAATTCACTATGTTTATATGGTTTTTCCTTAACTCTTGAACCTGCTGTTGAAGTTCTGTTACAAGTCTGCGAAGATCTGGAATCTGCCTTAGCCCCTCCTCGCAGTCATCACATAGGTACGACAATTTGAATATTTGAAGTGCAACAACACGCAATTCTGTTGCACTTAGTCCACTGCATTTAGTACATTCACACACACACTCTTTTGCAGCCTTTGCAATTGATCTTTGGCATCTTATCATCAATACGGCTATTACACTTGAAACACTGTACCATTTTTATTTATTGCCCCCAAATGGTAGTATGATTTAGGTAGTCTATTTTTCTTTTTGTGGCAACCCGGTATTGTCTATGGTCACTTTTTGACAGCTGACAATGTCAAATTTTACGAGGGTAGTAAAAGAAAATTTTAATAAATGGATTCAATCAAATGTAAAACACTATTTAAACACAAAAATAAACTCAATTCAAAGTCACAGTTTTACTATATTTATCAATTAACAATGTACTATATAAGTCAATCTCCAAACACAACACAAATAGCACTTTGATTGAACACTAATTCCCAGTGTTTTAATTTAATATGAACAGAGCAAGAAAAACACAAGTTGTTTCAAATGTAAAGAGATGCAACATCTCTTCGCAGTGCCACTGAATCGAGCCGATCGGAAAGCACTCAGTCGTCGACGATTCGAGCCGCTCTGCGCTGGATGCGGTCAAGTGGAAGAAGCTGGTACTGGGGAGCCCCAGCCCAGAGATGGGAACAGTATTCCATGTGCGGCCGAACCTACGCCTTGTAAAGTTGCAGGCGGTGTGCCGGCATGAAATACTATCCCGCTCTGCTGAGCACGCCAAGCTTTTTAGAGGCCAATTCGGCCTTCTCTTCCAAGTGACCACGAAACTGCACGTCACTCGATATGTCAACGCCGAGGATTCCGATACTGGCTGAGGCAACAAGGGGAGTGCCTTGAAACTGAGGAGATACGACAAAGGGGTTATATTTAGCGGTTAACGCGCAAACTTGTCTTCTGGGGGTTAAACTGGACTAGATTTAATCGCCCCCAATCCGAGACTCTGTTCAGCAAAGACTCGACTTCAGACACAAGGTTGTCCCGGCACTCGGAGACGTTTTCCCGAGAAATATTGGCTCGGCCGGTGTAAAGAGCATCACCAGTGCTGTCATCTGCATAGCAATGAATGTTACGGGTTTGCAACATATCATTGATATGCAGAAGAAACAGCGTTGGCGATAGCACGCAGCCTTGTGGAACACCAGCATTAATAGGCTTGCAATCGGAGCTTGCACCGTCTGCAACGACCTTGATGCCCAGATCTACAAAAAAGCTGGTGATCGAATCGCACAATTTCTCGGGAAGCCCATAGGAAGGGAGCTTCGAAAGAAGCGCTTTGTGGCCTTCGTAATGTCCAAACTAACGGCCAATGCCTCCCCCTTGGAATCTACTGCCTCCGCCCATCTGTGAGTTAGGTAGACAGACAAGATCACAGCTGACCGACCACGGCGAAAACCGTATTGGCGGTCACTAATCAGCTGGTGATCCTCAAGGTACCTCATGAGCTGGCAGTTTACAATGGACTCCATTGTTTTGGAGAACAAGGAGGTGATGGCGATAGGCCGGTAGTTGGACGGGTCTGAGCGTTTGCCTTTTTTAGGGATCGGGTGGACGAAAGCCGTTTTCCATGATTTTGGGACTGCGCCTAGGGAGTATGAGTACCGGAAAAGACGCGTTAAAACCGGTGCCAACTCCGGAGCACACATCCTCGGCACAATTGGGGGAATTCTGTCAGGCCCACTCGACTTGTGGATGTCCAGGGAGAGCAGTGCTTTGCGTACAAACTCGTACATGTTTTCCATCTATAGCTTCTAAACAGTTAGGAAACTGACATCTTTCTTTAAATTCCTATGCGATTTTCCTCCACTCTTCCAGAAACTGGCATCTGTAACAAAAAAATATTTTCAGATCAGTGATGATGAACGTGAAGCCAGTCAATGTATCAATGAATGTGCGATCGCCACTTTCACAAAGTAGTGTGGCTTCATCGTCAAGGACTCAAAAAAAGAAAAACTTAAGCCCAAGCTGATAATGGTCTAGCAAGTATAGCAAAGAAACTGGAAAAACCTCCACCGGCGAAACAGTAATATGACTGATTTGGTGAACATATTGCGGAAAAATAAAGAAATTGCCGACATGATGGCTACTACTGTCAAAAAATAATTAATGATGCGATATTCATAGCTGAGACTACATTTTAACTATTGATTCGCACATTGTACGCAATAATTTGAACCAGAATAATACCAATAATTTGGAAATATATTTAATTCCACCAGACCAGACGATGATAATTCTGGTATTTTGAATAATTAAGTAAATGAGCCCGAATCTTTACAACAGGACTATAATATATTGTATGATGCATTTGTTGCCGCTATAGGTTACACACATTCAGGCAACAATGAATAATTAAGTTTAAATAAGTAATTTTCACATAAATGATTGTTGTTGTAAAATAATATTAACTAATAAAAAAAACTAAATACAAATATTATTTACTTATCTTCATATAATTCTTCAAAACTGCATTGATGTAATTTCGTCTTAAATTTGAGAGATATAACAAACAAATAAGATGTCTTACAAGACCATTTTTACATGTTGCAGAACTAAATCTTTTTTTTTTATATAGAATAGGGTGACAAACAAGCACACAGTCCACCTGATGGTAAGTGGATGCTGCAGCACATAGACATCTACATCTATCCTCGATTACGAATCAAAATGCAGATGCATTGTCACCCGTGAGGACCCAGATGGAATGCCTCGTTTCTAGTAAAAAGGGTCTCAAAAAAAATTATATCAAATGGGAAGAAGGGGTTGTGGAGTGGCTGGAGTAAGTTTAATGCTAGCAGTAACTCAACTCCATATAAACGTCAAAATTGATTCACACACAGTGACAACCAAGTCAAAATAAAAAAAACTATAAATATTTTTATGTGCAGGCGGGCAACGTACATTTTATAACACGATTAATCGGGCAAAAGTACCTGTCACACAACCAACACGACCCAGGACATCAACATCAGCAGTCGTCGCTATTCATCATAAAGTCAAAATTGTAATCAGTCGGTATGTGATGGGACGATACCCACCATCAAATGACTACCCTACAAATGAAAAATATTTGGTGAGTTATAATTTATCAAATGAGGTGTTTCTAGTGGTTATTAAAGTAGTGTTATGTGAAATATTAAATATTTACTCCACTGAGAGACATTTCAAAAAACGAAATCAGTTGTGAATTTGTTTAATTTCTGTTTGTGTGATATAGTTGTATGAACTTTTGCTGTTTTATTTTGTTGATTTTGACTGAATATTATATGTAGGTAATCACTAAGTTAAACATTAATGACTTGCTTAGCAGCCAAGCGAAGGTGTAACAAAGTGGCATGAGTCAGATTATCTGCCTTTTTAGAATTAAATTACAATAAGTAGACATTTTTCTTAGGGGTTGCCATAGCTTGCCATATTTACTGAGTTTAGTTGGCTACGGTAGATATTTTTATTACTAAGCTGTTGTCAGAATGTTGCCACTGCTCATCTGACTTGATTCTTACGACACAGAGAATGACATGTGTAGTGACATGAGTAGTGTATATTCTTATGTCAGTAAACACGGTTCAGATTGGTATTATTATTATTGATAGTAAATGACAACCTCGTAAGACATGCATTAATCGATAGATGTAGGTGCTTCAGACTATGATTTGTGACTTTCCTTGAAAGACTCCTACGTTCACTAATGGACTTGTGAAGGGATATGATATATTGTTGATCATGAATAAGTGAAAGCAATTTGTTTAGATTGTAAGATTATTTTGTGTTATGGAAACAATTAAATGAAAGCGAATAAATTATTATACAATAATTAACATGTGTTTTGATCAATATTGATGTTTACAATTGCAGATGCTACATCTATTTTTTGTTTTGTAATATTCTGATCATATTCTTCAGTTAATATTGAAGTCCCTTTAGTATGAAGCAGGAATTGAGGGTATAAAATAAATTCATGTTTCAACCACAATAATTTAATGACAAAAGATTCATAATGTATGAACATCATTATTTTTGCAAGAACTGTAGCTTACCATCTTTTAACAATTTAAAATAATAATTTATAATTAATATGTTACATTTATTGAATATAAAATATTAATTATAAACGGAATGATAGTAAATGCAAGATGAAATAATCATCCTAGACATATTTATTTATCTAACGATACGCTATCATTACAGGCTAGCTCAATTGAATTGTGAGATAACATAATTATCATAGCATAATATACAAAGTGATTTCCTGGTCAAGAGAATAAATAAATTTGTTAAATATGAATAGATAGTAATCAAACCTCATTGGTGTTATAATGGTGATGTTCCATATTAAGAATACCCTTAACTAATGAGCATTTGTGCATAGATTTATACATGTGAAAGAAACGAAAAAGAGAGAATTGTGTAAGGATTGTGCCTAATGGAAGTCTTTAGTCTCCGCCTACACCATTGAGTAACAAGTGAGAGAGCGTACTATTTTTTTATTTGAAATTATGTTAAGGGCATTCCCCATCACATTATCTCTCATCTTTAGCATCTGCAATTCGATATCACAAAACACATGTTTAATTTTATTATTTATTTGTTATTCCTGTAAGTATGATTTGAAGTTGTTTTCCTATTCATTCTGTAATTGGAGTAATCATGACTGTAATTGATATATAGCAAATATGATTAAAAATTGTTATATGATCTGTATTTAGTTAGGCTTGAATATTTTTTTATACTTACCTATGAATATTTTTAATTCCAATTAATCATAATCATTTATATCTGTGAAACATTTGTCCATTCTGCAGTTTTTTTTTTTAATTTATGTACTTGTAACTGTACAATATTGTAATAAAATATTGTACAAAAAAGTTTGCTATGCTGCATGTATTCTATTTTTTTTTTGTGTAACTCAATCTTTTCAATGTAGGGAGACTTTATGATAGTTTTTCATATTTCTTATAAAATATTTAACTCACCAAAAGCAAATGTAAGCCACATGTATTGAATTTAAAGATATCAATAAACAGTAGATTAACATTTGGTATTTCATTAACTTTGTAGATATTGGTGGTTTTAATTTAAACTGCACAAAGTTTATTGTTTGATAAAAAGCA